GTATCGTTCGGGATTTCGTGTGGATTTTGTTTTGATTGGGCCCCGTGTGATAACGTCCTTCCTTGACTTGAAGGGAGAGTGTGACCTTTTGTGGGGCTGCTTAAAATATTTCCCCAAAGGCCTATAGTTTTTGTGAATACCCCTAGTATTACTCCCCTTCTCACCCATTCTGCATAACTACTAATGACATTTCCCTGTTTGTCCCCTTTTTTGTCTCCTTATATCTTTTCTCCTTTTTCATTTCCTCTCTCTCTGATCATCCTTTTGATTGAGTTATTGACAATTGCCGGTATGCTTCACAATCCCAGACTACCCCTGTTTTTCTTCCCACTAAAATCTTACTTGTAGCCTTCTCTGGCTTAATTCTTTTCAAATTGGCCGCTAAGCCATCACTTTGAGCTGTTTGTATAACCTCTCTTTGATTGCTTACCTCTCACAGGGAGTTGGATAACTCCCTGCAGTTATTTCCTATTCTGTTTACATCCCTTTCTTTTAGACCAGGGCAATAGTGGTGATATTTTTTCTTCTGTCACTTGCAATATCTTCTGTACTTTCTTTCTTTTTCTTTTGGATATAATTTCCCCTTCTTTTCTCTGTTTAACAGCCAGTTTAGTCATTCCCTGGCTGGCCCTACTTCCAATTTTCTTTCTAGCTTTGCGTCTTAGCTCTAATTCTCTGCTGCAAACCTTTAATATTATGCACAACTTAAATTTGATTTTTCTCCTGATTCATGGCAGTATTTGGCAGCCATCTTCATCCTTGTGGTCTCTCTGTTTGGAGTGCCTTTCCTGCCCACCTTCTGGAAACTATTGGCATTTTCTGTTCTGGAAAGTGTCTCTTTGTTGCCTCTCTAGCAGCAACATCGTCATCGTTATCATTGTCGTCGTCGTCGTCATCATCATCATCATCTTATTTATTAATTTAAGATGAATGGCATTATTACGTTTAGCAACTTTAGCAAATAAGGCTGTTTTATGTGTGATATATGGGTAATAGTCTGACAGGAGCCAGCATATTTTAATGTACGATCTCTCATCCTGTAAGGAAGCCAAATTCTTCTCAATAATATCTTCCTAAAATTTTGATATAACTGGCAATACTTTAGGTCAAAATTCCAGATATACTTACTAACATCAAGAAGTTACCTCATGAAGAAAAGCTTTTGGCTAGCCATTCTCTCGATATATGGGCTTACGCCTACAAAGAATCTTTATTTAATTTATATCCTGCTTCACTTATAACATGGGATCCAGCTATGTTTACACAGTAGATTAAAATTAAATACAATGGGCTCTTTGTATCCACTGTGGTTTGATTCCAGGAGTTCCCATGGATGCCAATATTTGTGGATGTTCAAGTCCCATTATATACAATGACATAATAAAATTGTGTCCCTTATATAAAATGGCAAATCAAGGTTTGTCTTTTGGATTTTTTTTTTTGAAATAATTATTTTCTAGCCATGTATGGTTGAATTCATGAATGCAGAATCCGTGGATATGGAAGGCTGAATGTACAGCCCAGTAATAAAGAAGTTTAAAAGAGAATTAAAAAGGTATCCTATTAAAACACCACTCATGCACAGTCTTACACACATGCACATACAATAAAAAAAATCTATATAACCAGTTACTCGGCAATTTTTAAAATAAAAAGGTGTTTACTTGTGGACGGGGGCAGCCTAGCTTCCTTGTGGAAGAGAATTCCACACCTTGGGAGCAGCCACTGAGAAGGCCCTCTCTTGTGTCCTCACCAAGCAAGACTGTAAGGATGGTGGGACCAAAAGAAAGCTCTCCCTTGATCTTAAGATTTGCGCAGGCTCATGTAGGGAGGAGACAGGCTTCCAGATAGTCTGGACCTAAGCTGTTGTTGTACCTTCAAGTTGTTTTCCATTCTTGGTGACCCTAAGGCCACCCTATCATGGGTATTTCTTGACAGAAGTTGTTGGGGTGGGGTGGGGGTTATCTTTGTCTTCCTCTAAGACTGAAAGACTGGCTTGTCCAAGGTCCTCTGGGAGGATTTCCATGACTAAGCTGGGATTCGAACCCTGGTCTCCAGATTCATAGTCCAATGCTCAAACCACTATATCATGCTGGCTCCTAAGCTGTATAAGAAGAACTTTGAAATCTGCCTGGATATGAACTGATAGCTAGCAAAGCTGTTATATACACAAGAGTTATATTTTCCAAGTAACTCTGGCCACAGCATTTTGGACACGCAGAAGAAGACCACCATCACCATCACGATGTCTAATGCAGGGAATAAGCCCAGCATTTTACCCCTAAGCTTTGTGCTGACTTCTGCAATGAAGAACTTTTCAGGTCTCAGGCACAAAGTGTCCCATTTTCAGGCTTTTAAACATAAGACTAGTCTATATTTTGCTGTTGTTATTTTTATCTATGTTCCAGCTTTTTCTCAGTTTGGGATTTGAAGTGGCTGATGACAGTTGAAGCAAATACAGCTAAAAACGGACAGCATGCAAAAGTTTAAAACATAATTAAGCTATCAAAAATTAAAACCAGTTAAGAAAAAAAGAAGGGTGTAGAACCAGTCTGTTTAGTCTAGCATTTTCTAAAGTGATTGATGAAGATACTCTATAAAAGTCCCAAGAAGATGGCTGAGCTTCCCAGCCCTGGAAGAGAGTGTGACTTGCCCAAGGTGAATCTGGGATTTGAACCCTGGTCTCCAGAGTCCAATGCTCAAACCACTACACCATGCAGGCTCTTTATCAAATTATACTCATACATAAATCTAGACTCTCCATCTAATCCAACCTTTTTCCTGGTCAAAACATGCACTCACCCTAACCCTAAAAGTGAACTCAATTTGCACTATTTCTGGCAGTCTGCAACCCCCCTTAGTTAAGGTCCTTTTGACTGAGGACAGCTGGGTGTTAACCTGGGATTTCTGTATGTAAACCATGTCCTATATTACTGAGCTGTGCCAGCAGTACTCCTGGGTTTGTTGTTATTATTGTTTCTCTCTCTAGGTGAACACCATGAACTCTTAGCTGCCAGAGCATGTGGGAGCAGATAATAATTGGTCTATTTCGAGCAATGTGTGCATGAAATTTTTAGCACTGTATTAAGTTCTCTAGTATGTAATTGTGGATTCACTTTGATTATTGGGAAGAAACTGCATGCTCCTCTTTTGTAATCAGTGCATTTTGGGCAACCCATGCCCCAAGTTACAGCTATTTGGGCTGTGTGCAAGTATGTTATCTAAGCTGGTATATAGTTCATGTTCACCTCCAACTTTTGAGAACATTTTTAGAAACAGATTAGTTTTCAGAGTTCTGTAATCACCGTGTTAAAAAATTGAGTGGACCAGTTTTCAGGAGCTTATTTAGCATGAAAGACTTAATAACATTTTCTGGTAAATGTAAAACATTTTCATGGGATTTTTAACCAAATACTCTCCATTCCCCAGACCCCTTTACACATTCCTTTAAAAAAGAAAAGAAAAGAAAAAAGGTGAACAGAAATGTTTAATCTGAATCAGAAGACTTACGTAGGAATAATTCAAGTTTATTATGGTTGCTAAATCCATCTCCAGTGTTCAGTTTGGAGATAAGAGTTTGATTTCAGTGGCATCATGGCACTCTTTTAAAAATAACATTTTGGAACATAGCATTTAAAAGGGCTGTTGCAGCAGATGATGAGACCACACTAAGCTGAATACCAGCAGAGCATAATATACAGTTTACCTTACTCAAACTATATTCCTTTAGAGTAGGGAGTGGAAATGAAGTGAGATATAATTGCCTGCCTCCCATGAAAATGCCTTCCTCCAGAAATATTTTCTTGTAATAAAAGAGGTCATGAAATTCTGAGCCATGTGGCTGCCTAAGAGTTAGTCCTCATTTTTTCTTCTGGAGTTGTCTCACTCTCTGGAATCTGGTGGCTTGACAAATCAATTCACAACGTAGGAAGATGAAATGGATGGGGATCAAAATGTTTCCACCACTTTCCGGCTAAAAGGTGATTCTGAGACGATCTGTTCTATCAGGCACACCCCAGAGTCTAATTTAACTACCCTGATGCATAGGTAAATTTAACCTGACAGCGTTTGTGATGGAGTCTGAGTGGTTGAAAATGCACAGAGGGGCCAGGGATCTGCATCTCAAAGCCCCCAACCACTTTTTTCACCAGCTTCCCAAAGTACTGTATAATTATCCTTTATCATCTCATGCCAATCCCCTGGCCTGCCCATCCCATCCCATCCCATATTGTCCTCTGCCTTGCCCTGCTGTCCCATCCCAATCCCAATCCCAATCCCATGCCATGCCATGATACGATATGC